GAAGAGCCTTGCGGCCAATAAATGCTATGCTACGGCTTGTCTAATGCCACGGAAAGACCTCCATACAGCAGTTGGGTTCCTTGATCTGCCGATGACCCTCTCTGCAAAGAGGAAGATTGCAGGAGTCCCCAATACAGGGTTCTCCTTTCTCTATCACTGGGAGAGTGCGGTGACAGGTTGCACTTTGACAGCCGACCGATTAGCCGCCTCAGGCCTTATTGAGGATCCAGCATGTCGGTTTTGCCATAGTGGGAAAGAATCCCTGCACCACTTCGTTCATGAGTGCAGTGGGTTACCTCACGACTTACAGCAACCTGGGACGACCCGTTTTTTTGGGCCAAACTTCTCAATGCTGGGAATTGCGGAGATACCACTGACAACGATCAAGGCCAAGTTACAGGTGTCCAACACTTCTGAGCTCCACGTCCATGACTGGGATTCACTAATTACTGGTTGCCAGCATGTTTGGACAGACGGGTCAGTACAACTTGGTCACTACCCCTGGTTAACTATGGCTTCGTATGCCGTAGTAGCAGAAGATGCGTCGCTTCTTCTGTCTGGACCAGTCAAGCACTGGCGCCTTTCCAGCTACAGCGCTGAACTTTGGGCTGTCCTTGCTGCCTTTGCCGCAGCATCACGTCCCATTGTGGTCCACTCTGACTCCTTAACCATTGTCAAGCAGTTTGCCGAGCTCCAGCGCCTTGACCGGGTCCAGGTTGAATGGACGCATGCGCAGTGGTGGGGCTTCCTCCTTGCTCTTATCCAGCGACGTCGACCTGTTTTTGACCCACCGCTGCAAATGGTTTGGTGCCCTGCTCACCTCTTGGAGCACCTTCCACTAGAGATGATCTCCGCTGAAGCGGCTCTTGCTGCAGGATCCAATGTGCAAGACATCCGTTTGAATAGGAAAGCCGATGAGTTTGCCAAACGCTGCATACATGCTGAAGCGACCAAACTGAAAGCGGAACTCCTTACTCAGGAAGTTGACGTGTATGCCAGACTATTGTGGCTTGCAAAACTGAACCGTGCGTGCAAGAGGTCTGATACACCACCAGCTATAGTGCCCGTGGTACACACTGCACCCACAGAGCGGCTCACACCAAGACAACTTTGTCCTCGTTGGGCGTGGGACAGCCCTCTTGAAGAGTACACCTGGACTACCTTCAACAACCCTGACCTCAAAGGGCCTGGGAAACCACCACTTTCGGATGCCAATTTTCATACTTTTCTTGAGTTCATGAACTCCTTGCGGTGGAAACAGGGAGAAGGCTTGGCTTGCTCCGTCTTTGAACTCGCGGCAGCTGCCTTCTTAGATGGATGGAGATTTTCTCTCCCTGCAGGTACTCTTTGTACGCTCCAAGCTTATGCGGCCATCATCAGAGCCGGCATTTCTTTTTGTAAAGTGAAGCTATTTATCGTGGCGCCTTTGCTTTTGGACAAAGGCAACAAATGTAATGGGAAAACATTTCCCAAAGGAGCGTTTTTTGGTGCAGAGGTCTACCTCAGCAATCAGACCCTCGAACTTTTTGTGAGAGCTTTTGAACGGGGAGCAAAAGCGACTCCAAGCTCATGGTCTCTCACGTTTGATTCACTTCTGTGATGTTGTCGAATGATGGCATTTGGACCGTTGTCGCGGAAGACGACCCCGTGGCCCAGCGAGAGAGCAAAAAAAAAAACAAGATGGAACCCACGAACCCGAATGCAAACACGATCGAAAAACTAATATGTCCAAAGGACACTCTTGTAGGACACTCTTGTGGGACACTCTGTAGGACACTCTTGTGGGCCACTCTTGTAGGAAACTCTTGTGGGACACTCTTGTAGGACACTCTTGTGGGACACTCTTATAGGACACTCTTGTGGGACACTCTTGCGGGACACTCTTGTGGGACACTTTTGTGGGACACTCTTGTAGGAAACTCTTGTGGGACACTCTTGTGAGACACTCTTGTAGAACACTCTTGTGGGTCACTTGCAGGACACTCTTGTGGGACACTCTTACACAACACTCTTGTAGGACACTCTTGTGGGACACTCTTGTAGGACACTCTTGTAGGACACTCTTGTCGGAAACTCTTGTGGGACACTCTTGTGGGACACTCTTGTGGGACATTCTTATAGGACACTCTTGTGGGGCACTCTTGTGGGACACTCTTGTAGGACACTCCTGTACGAGACTCTTGTACACTCTTGTGGGACACTCTGCGGGACACTCTTCTGGGACACTCTTGTGGGACACTCTTCTAGGACACTCTTGTGGGACACTCTTGTAGGACACTCTTGTGGGATACTCCTGTAGGACACTCTTGTGGGGCACTCTTATAGGACACTCTTGTGGGAAACTCTTGTGGGACACTCTCGTAGGACACTCTTGTGGGACACTCTTGTGGGACACTCTTGTGGGACACTCTTGTGGGACACCTTGTGAGACACTCTTGTGGGACACTCTTGTGGGTCACTTGCAGGACACTCTTCTAAGACACTGTTGTAGGAAACTCTTTTGGGACACTCTTGTGGGACACTCTTATAGGACACTCTTGTGGGACACTCTTGTGGCACACTCTTGTAGGACACTCTTGTAGGACACGCTTGTGGGTCACTCTTGTAGGAAACTCTTGTGGGACACTCTTGTAGGACACTCTTGTGGGACACTCTGTGGGACACTCTTGTGGGACACTCTTGTGGGACACTCTTGTAGGACACTCTTGTGGGACACTCTTGTGGGACATTCTTGTGGGACACTCTTGTAGGACACTCTTGTGGGATACTCTTCTGGGACACTCTTGTAGGACACTCTTGTAGGACACTCTTGTGGGTCACTCTTGTGGGGCACTCTTGTAGGACACTCTTGTGGGACACTCTTCTGGGACACTCTTGTAGGACACTCTTGTAGGAAAGGGTCACTCTTGTAGGAAACTCCTGTGGGACACTCTTGTAGGACACTCTTGTGGGACACTCTTGTGGGACACTCTTGTGGAACACTCTTGTGGGACACTCTTGTAGGACACTCTTGTGGGACACTCTTGTAGGACACTCTTGTGGGGCACTCTTGTGAGACACTCTTGTGGGACACTCTTGTGGGTCACTTGCAGGACACTCTTGTGGGACGCTCTTAGGAAACTCTTGTGGGACACTCTTCTAGGACACTCTTGTGGGACACTCTTGTGGGACACTCTTGTAGGACACTCTTGTGGGATACTCTTGTCGGACACTCTTAAGGGACACACTCCTAAGGGACACTCTTGTGAGACACTCTTGAGCGACACTGTTGCGGGACACTCTTGTGGGACACTCTTGTGGCACTCTCTTGTGAGACACTCTTGTAGAACACTCTTGTGGGAAACTCTTGTGGGACACTCTTCTGGGACACTCTTGTAGGACACTCTTGTAGGATAGGGTCACTCTTGTAGGAAACTCCTGTGGGACACTCTTGTAGGACACTCTTGTAGGACACTCTTGTCGGAAACTCTTGTGGGACACTCTTGTGGGACACTCTTGTGGGACACTCTTATAGGACACTCTTGTGGGACACTCTTGTGGGACACTCTTGTAGGACACTCCTGTACGACACTCTTGTAGGACACTCTTGTGGGACACTCTGCGGGACACTCTTGTGGGACACTCTTGTGGGACTCTCTTCCAGCTCCCCAGATACTGCGCGTGTACTAAAGTTGTACTACAAGGTCGCCAGTTCTCAGCTTCCACGTACTACCGTTGTACTACAAGGTCGCCAGTTCTCAACTTCCAGCTCCACCGGACAAATCGCACTCTCGCCTGCATGTCGCGCACTCAACACGCACGATCTCCGCAGAGGGTTGCGCACGCATGGGACAAATCGCACTCTCGCCTGCATTTCGCGCACTCGACACGCACGATCTCCGCAGAGGGTTGCGCGCGCGTGGGACAAATCGCACTCTCGCCTGCATTTCGCGCACTCGACACGCGCGATCTCCGCAGAGGGTTGCGCGCGCATGGGACAAATCGCACTCTCGCCTGCATTTGGTGCACTCGACACGCACGATCTCCGCAGAGGGTTGCGCGTCAAGTCTCCAAAACGAGCGTTTCGTACGAGACGTCCTCAAAAACTCACACGTCAAAGTCTGCAAAACGAGCGTTTCGTACGAGACTTCCTCCAAAAGTCAAGCAGAAACACCCTTCGGAGCACACACATCATGCAGCCCTGCCAAGCAGTTTCGCGATTCCAGCCCCTCCAAACAACATCCGCTCACACGCCAATCCCAATGGGACAGCGACATTCACCTCTACCACAACTCACAACCTCACGATTCCCTGCGCCTGCCACGAGAATTGCACTTCCGCGCTTCAAAGCCCGCACGAAGTCCTGCGCCTGCCACGAAAAGTGACAATATCATCGCATGTGAGCTTCAACAAAATTTGCACCACACCACACGTTTGGAATGATTTCGACCCGTTCAGAGCACACTCCCATCCATCAAAATCGCCATTTCAGCTGAGACTTGTCACGAAAACAGAGCTTTGATGCCACACCCTGAAACGCAAATCCCAATGGCACGGCCACATCCAACACCCCAAAAACACGACTCTCCAAGCGCTAATCCCAATGGAACTGCGCCGTAATCTGCGGATCTCACAAAACGCTGCGCCTGTGCAGCGAAGTGCATCACGTTTCTTGCGCGACATGTCCGTGTCACGCAAATCACAATGGAATAGCGGCGCAAACTGACACGTGACACGTCCATGCAAAGTCAAGCTTCCCCCAATGGCAGCAAATTTGAGACGCGACGACGACGAGAGACGACGAGAGACGACGACAGACGACGAGAGACGACGAGAGACGACGAGAGACGACGACAGACGACGACACGACGCAAGCCACGCGAGCACAGCTCCAACCCCCAGACCCCCAACTATAAACGGGAACCCTTCGCTACGCATTCGGGAAAAAGGAAGCTCCCCCGCACTTGCACTATTCATGTGGTTCCTAGATGTTTTGTATTGGGGAAGCCGAATGATTTGAGGAGACCCTCGGCCTGACGTGATCTTGATCCCGCTGCGAACAAAACGCCGCATCAATAGGAGCCGTGGCCGGATGGTGATCTTAGATTGAGTAAGGAGACTTCAATGCTTGTAGAAACATGCCATGCAAAACTAGACGACTTGTAGGAATAGGTTAAGACATGTTGGAGCTGGGCAGGGGCGTCAGATTTCGTTTGCAGAAAATCTTAGTTATTCCTTTATTTCCTTGGTGTCATGTTTTGGGTTCTAAGCGTCCGCGTGCACTTTGTTAGAAATGACCGACGGGAAAGTTGGGCTCCCGCATCCAGTTTTGCACATGCAAGCAGGGTCCTGTCAAACAATCAAACGGTGTTGTTGCTTGTGGACTAATGCTATATTTACAACATGTCCAACATAATTGCACCGATGTGTTTGTGTTTTGGGGGTTTTGTCGATCTTATCTCCACTTTCATTGTCAAAACACCAGCTTTGTTCAGGTACATAGTTGGTTTTCTTTGTTTCTGTCTCGCGCACTTCGGTCATTCCAGGAGGCGGCAAAGGTCAGTAGAAATTCCACGGCTACCTGAGCTGAAGTGAGCATTCGCCACAAGAAAAAGTTGACATTTTCGGAGTAGGAATTTACACGCACATCATCAAGACTGCTCACGCAAAATCAATCGTCAGCAGATATTCAGATATTCATGCAGAGCACATGTCGTGTCAGGAGCAAGGGCCAGCAAGGGTGCTTGAAGGATTTGAAGAAGTTTTGCTACTAGGAGCAAGGACGCTACTAGTAGCTTCTGGGCATACTACTAGGAGCAATGTTTGCTATTAGGGGCTCCTGCCAAATGTTCATCCACCTGAAACCGTAAGGACACGAGGGTTCAATTCTTTTGTGTGCTGCGAGATGAGATGGGACTGGCAGCTGTTGTACACATGCACTGAGTCCAGACTGTGGTCATTCTGCATTAAGCTTGATGTATGTAGGGACGGATGTTTATATATTTGCTTGCAAGACTTTGTTGTAGAGAATTATTGTCCTGCAAAGATAGCCAAGATCTGTACTGCGATCTTATTGTGGGAGTTTTTGGCTTTCGCGTTCATAGTCTGCACAGCATTCACCCTACATGGCTGAATTGTGGATAAGCAGGGAGCAGCTCTTTTTTTGTGTCTCTGCCAAAGCTGCTTAGGCTCCAGTTTTGAATAGTTTGGAATTTGGACACAGACAGACTGCACAGTGTCTAGAAATGATTTGTTACAAACTGGGCTGCACCTGCACTTCTGTGTCACGTTTGGTCAGACCGACATGTTCACAGCTTAGCGGCCAAATACCAGTTTCAGCTCTTACACCATATTGTGCTATTAGGTTGGCGGCCATCGCTCTTAGGTTGGAGGCTATCATAACCACCTTCAATTCGTGACAAGTCTGAGCATTTTCTCTACAGCCCAGTCATGGCGGAGAATGGTCTCAGAAGCCAAGTATCGCGCCTTGGGCTGATGACATTTGATGACGGACAATCATATGGTTTCCCTGCGACATCTCAAGTTCTCTGACCTGTCATGAAAACGAGTCTCTGGTGGCCCTACATCTATCTATTCGTGGCCAGTTCTTGTAGAATCAACAGGGCCTCGCACTGCATTGCCTCACTTGACTTGACCTTTTCAGGCTTATCGTCAACAATTCATCACAACTCAACATGTTGTTAAGTTGACACATTGTCATGAAATCATGTTGAATCACCTTGCTTAAGAACACCCATCGCCTTCGTGGTGCACCGTGTTGGCTGCATTGCTTCGTCGATGCTTGCACCTTTCATCATGTTTCATCCAAATTGCTTTCCTGCTTTGTTCCAAGCACTGCTTGGTCAAGAACTTAGACTTAGTCTTCCTATTTTGGATTGCCCTGGAAGGACGAAGGACGGCACTCGTGGGCAACGCCAGGATAGAGAAAGGCCCAAGATGTAAAACCGTAGGCTCCTACACTTTTCACCACAAATCTTTGCTTTTGTGCCTGTTGCCAGACAGCTTTCAGGCAGAGACCGATATAGCCATAGGCCGTAGCGATGCTTCCAAGAAGTTGTGACAAAGTCAGTCCCGGTCCTCCTATGTTGTCCGACCATGTCCTGCTAAACTTAAGCTTGACCCGGGCGAGGTGCTGGATTGTCGCAGTGCGAACGCACTACCTGGTCCTACTTTTCTTTACCTTGGTGTGGCTGCTCAGAGTCACCAGAGTGGACTGCCAAGAGGAGTCATCATGTTCGTGATTGCATCACTCAGACCCGTTTTCGAGACCACTGCAAGCACTGCAAGAACTATCAGAATCAGAGCATCTACATGGCACCAGCCGCGGGGATGTAACCGTCATTCGTGAGACAGAGACTACTTGAACTGTGAAATGCCATGTTGTTCACGATTTAGGACCCGGGCCTTTGTGGACGGTCGTCCTTGCAATGTAGTGTGTCATTGCGGTCTCTGGTGTGTAGCGCGTGCATTGTGGCATTGTATCCTTTTGAACTGCTGTGTATGCAACTTTGCATTCTCTCCATGGCAGCCATTGCATAGATTGTAGATATCTTCAATGCCGTCTTTTTCATGTGCCTCCTGATAGACTGCCGGCCAAATATTTCGTTTGTGTATCGTAGTGCACATACTGTATAATACTCTGTATAATATATACTTCTAAAGTCGACACTGCAAGCCACTGTGGGCAGTCCATTGTCTAAGAGTCTAACATGCTTGGGACTGTAGTATTGACTCTGGCAAATGATGTGCGTGTGTATATATATATATTCACTGTATATGTTATGTAATATATATATATATTGTAGTAGTTGTAGCATCATCCTGCTTTGTGCTCTTTGCAAGAGAGAGTGCGTGCACGGTACCAACAAATGTTCTTGCCACGAACTGAGCTCGTTGAAGTATAAATTCTCACACTATCAAGACCTCCAAGCCAACGGCCTTCAAGAATTCCCGAATGATATGTATATAAGTCTGAGTCTACACACCTCTACTAGAATCGAAGGGTTGCAGAAAGAAAGAAAGAGTTTTCAGCGCTTCCCCAAAAACTGATACGGCATGTGACAGTAGACTTTACTTGACCAGTTACACGTAATGCCATTGGTACGGCGCAACAACAGTCCAAAACGTAACGATGCATGCATATACAATCATAATAGTTTTTCATACAGTGAGATGTATGTGTACACCGTACAGTACATAAACAATTCTCTTATCCATGCACATGTCTCCTTCTGGTACATATATAGATGAGTCCAATTTGTTTGCTTGATAAATGCAATTTGTATTGTTTAAGCTGGCTGAAAATATGCAAATCTGGGGCCAAGGTTTTCCACTCAAAAACGATTACTGTATGTTTCTCTTCAGGTCGTGTACTTGCCACGCTTGTACTTCTCCTACTCAGTGTTCTTCTTGGTGTGGCGCTGAGGACTCTCAAAACAGAGGTACTTGTAGGAGTGGAAAGGAGTATGATCGGGTGGTTGTGGGGTGTTTTGCTTGCAGTTGAGTGAAGGGTCACTGTCAAGCATTTCCCTTTAAACCTCTGAGAGGACTGGCGTTTTGTTTGGGGCAAACTTTGCTGAAACTGAGCTGAAACAAAAGATGTTACTCTAAATCTTTGTTTGTATGATCAGCATCTAGAATCTAGAATTAATCCCTACCAGCCTGAGTTTTGTGGATTTCCAGCCTCCCCACATAGCCTCATGCTGCATTTGATGAAAGTACTTTTTGCATGACAAGAAAAACTACGGGTGGGGCTTGATCAAGAATGAAACCTGTGGATGTGAGATGACAAAGCCAGCCCATGATCACCAGGCTCAGTTCCTGCGGCTGATTGCGCGCATTACTGGTGTGGCCACAGGTGGACTCATCCATACATATGTGAACTGTCAGAGGCCGTAGGAGCAAAGAGGAGCAAAGACATGGTGGAACAAATGTGTCCACACTTGCCTCAAGCCACTCAAACTGTTCGCACACTACGCTCCAGCGCAGGTAGACCAGTCGCAAATCGGCGTATTCTGGTCATCACAGACTACCTGCCGCCACAGACACACGGCACGACCCAGCAGTTTCAGTCAAATATAGTAAGAGTGAGTAAGCACCTGGAAGCTGCACTACAGATTGTTTGGCAAACTTTGCAGTGATTGCTGGCTCATTTGAAGTCTTGGGAATATGTCCCTGCTTCCAGAATAATAATCCGCAGGTTGTATGTAGACGGCTTATTTTCCTGTTGCCATGGAGGGTTGGGGTGTACCCTATTGTTCAGCCATGGCCATGGGTGACCGCGGACATCGCGAATCATGAATCAATTATATTCAGTAGGTGGTACCCTAATCCTTGCTAATTATGTTGATATGTGTTTACTGACTTAGACGAACCCGAAAGGAATCGTATAATATATATATATATGTTTTGTCGTCTTCTTCCGAGTCCTGCGGAATGAAAAAAGCAGCATTAAACTGCAGGTATTGCCATCCGCTGCCATGCCTACGTGAAGGAGATGAGAGCCAAGGGCCATGAGGTGAACCGGAACCTTCCTATTCCCAGCTTTGCAGCTCCATGCAATGAGTCTGTTTTTATAATGGCCCTGGTCACGTCAGGTTTTTTTGACCACCACACACTGGCTGCATGGGATTGGATTGCTTGCTACGACAATTGTTCTGCAAGAACATACGATGATTTCAATCTATCATTTGGCCGAAGGGCCCAAAATCAGCGCAGGTGATTGTCTTCAGCACAGCCTACGAAGCCAACAAAGAGACCTCCTTTGACCATCCCAACATCCCGGCGGCCGCCCTGACATGTTTTGAAGACACGGTCTTTGCAGCCCTCCAAAACGGAGAGGAATCTATTGATTAGTTGCCAGAAACAGCCTGCTGATTTGCAAAAAAGTTAGTACGCCGTTGACTTTGTGAGACTCAATATGCAGATTCGTGTAGATCTTACCCACTGTGCAACTCAATTTGCCCTGTTTGTTCTGAAGGCCGGAACAGACTCACGAAACAATTTTGCAAAATAAAGTGTATGTTGAAGGAAGGGCTCGACGTGCATGTGGTGCATCCCACGCACGTGCCTGGCATGAATCAGAGTGTATGGAATGATCATGCCGGTGTTGACTCCTTGTATCTTTTTCGTACAGTACATACCCGTTTGATGATATGAATTGATCTCAGGATACAACCAGGTGCCCTCTTCGCCCGTTGGCACACTTCGTCGCGTTTTCTAGTCCAGAGATTCCACACGAGGTTCTATGAGACACAACATGTTCTCCGCTTGGAAGATTTAGTGGCCAGAAGTCTCTTTTCTGTTGGACTGAATCTGACATTCTGCTCCCACATTCGCACCTGCAGCGGTCATCAACAATTGATTGCATCAAGTCTGCCTCGACTGCTTTGTCATGAAGGATGATGCGTTGGATATTTGTCGGCCAGGTGGTGAATCCCTTCAACATGAAAAACCGCATCGGCTACAACCCCGGAGTTGATGCCTCAGTGCCTTTGGAATTTGTCTTGTTCCACATTTCATTGTTGTGCCCAAGAAGTGTGAGCTTGCAGTTACGTGTCCTGATTGTGAAGTATGCCTCAGGAATCATTATGTATATATATATATACATTATTTATATAACAATTATATATATATATATTATATACACATACCTGTATTCTACCTGTATTCTGGATGGTATGACCATGGTTTGAACATATTCCAAACTTACTCCAAGGGGTAAGGTTTTCACCAAGCTCCAGTACTTGCACCTGTACATAACTGTCGCCTCTCGCATCAGTTCTGTCCGTCGTTTCAGGTGAAGTTGGCATGGTTCCTGGGTGCCCATACATGGGATGTCGCATCTTGGTCGCCAAATCAGCTGGAAGAAGCCAGGAGGAGAAAGAAACCTCTTGTGATGTTGCATGATGTTGTCAAGGAAATTCAAGAGACCAAAAATCTCGCAACAGCTTGCAACCAGAAAGAGGGCAACCTTCTTTGGGACCGCCACAGTCGCGGCTCACTCTCCTTGCATAAGCATGGCCGACAAGAAGAAGCAGATCAGTGGCATCTTCTCGACGAACTTCAGGTCCACTTGGTCTATCCCTCCCTCATTGGCACCTTCGTGTTGACGGTGTGTGCATGGCGGAGAATTCCAGTTTCTCGACAGACATGCATTTCAGGATGTTGGCATATTAAACTCATCAAACCGCAGTGCATCTTTGGCCTGTCCAAAGGTGTAGTGTACAGGTGTCCGAAAACGTGGTCTGTACCTTTGTTTTTTGGGGGCCAGTGACGAGGGAAGCAGCAGGCGATTGACCCATAGCATCGCAGGCAACCCACACCTCTCAGGTCTATTGTTCTCACCACGTTGAGATGAACATGTTTGCCTACAAGCTTGTCCCAATCAGGCACTGAACGCTTGAGCAAGTTTACCATGCAGATCTATTTGCCTCCTCAGCATGTCCAGCCTCTTAACAAACAATCTACAAGTGCTAGCTGCTAGCTCTTGAAGCAAAGTCTCTCAATGCGTAAGCATGTGAATACGTGCATGTCGACGAAATCATTGGCACTTGTTTGTCCAGGTGGGTGGCGACCTTTGGCCTGAAGATGTCGTTTGGCTGAAACTTTTTTGAAATTGACTGTGCAAAGGCCTGCAACCACTGCAACCACCTTCTGTGTCAGGTATTGTGGGGCCACTAGGGAATTCTGTACTGCAGGTCGATCACCTCATTCCCAGGTTTAGATGCCTACATTCCCTTTGCATACATATCAAGCCTTTCAAGCCTCAGTTGTACAAGTGGTGTTTGCCAGGTACGACCTGCTTGGTCTTGCACCTGCTGTGAAGTGGGGTACGCTGAATGCTGCGCCCACGCTTTGCTTCGCTCGAGATCACTTGGGCAAGGAGAGGACAAGCGTGGAAGGCTTTGGAAAGTGCAGGTAGAATAGGCAAGTCACTACCTGCCTAAAGTAACCTATGACTTGATGAATGATGCGAGTTAGAATTAGACGAAGAATACGAAGATAGATTGTTGTATTCCAATATCTGGACAACTTCGATGCTCAAATGGGCTTTTCTTTTTTGGTTTGTCCCTAGTGCCAAACTAATGAAGAGCAGTGCTTTCAGGGGAATGAGTAAAGCCAATGAGCAGCGTTCTTGGCAAGATTTTGGCATCAAGCTTTACCCAGATGTAGACAATGATGTGTTTTTCTCCACCTGTCAGGTGAGGGTTGTTAGCTTTTCTGTCAGCTGCTGCCCCCCTTCTTCTCCTCTTCCTGCTCCTCCTCGTCCTCCTCAACCGCGGGCCTCGGCTGGCAGTGTTCCCCGCCGGACCTCAACCGCGAGTTCCGCTTGGCAGTATTTCTTGCCGGACCTCAACCACGAGTTCTGGCTGGCAGTGTTCCCAGCCGGACCTCAACCAGCACACAACCACGAACACACAGTCACAAACACAACCACAAACACAATCACAAACGCAGTCACAAACACACAGCCGCAAGCACAAAGACACATATACAGCACACAGCCACAGCACACAACCACAACATACAGCCACAGCACGCAACCACAACACACAATCACAATCACAGCACACAACCCAGGGACCCACAACCAAAGTCGAGAACCAGAAAAATCACGACCATGGCAACGTGCTCCTCACCATGGCATGAAGACACATGATTGACATGTCATGGTGGGTGTCACTTGAAGTAGAGTACTTTTGTCACTGCAGAAGAATGTGTGATCCCTGACACAAATTCTCGAGTGATGCCTGGACTCTGCGCTTTGTGCCTGCACATGGTGTAGCATAGTGTAGCAGTTTTGACTCATTCCTTGCTATGCCTGAAGTTTTATCCTCAGGAGAATGAGGCTAAGCTGAGAAGGGTGCCTTCCGGCCTTGGACTTGGATTATTTGGGAATCTCACCAGCCAAACATGTCCTCAGGTGCCCCGTTCAGTGAGAGCCAGAGTCAATTGAGGTAAATGCAAAATCGCAGAAAGCATGGCCCACTTGACTTGGAATTTGTCAAGCCACATTGAGTATCATTGACTTGAGAAGGCTGTTGAGCAATGGACACAGCAGCACCAATTTGTGCATCGCAAAAATACGTCATTTATCGTCATTTGTTCAACATGTGTCGCATAGGTGCATTGCGTGCTGAGGCACCCACGACATTTTCACGGCCACGCCAAAGAGTGAGACGGAGAGCTGAAAGGGGTGCTGGAAATTGCAGGTGTTTCCCACCTAATTGAATGTAGCCGCTTGTAGCCTTTAGAGAACAGTCATACAGGCAGAGTATGTGCGCTGTTTGTAGACGATACAGTTGTGACATGTTGTGACTATATGGATTCAGATCAAGGCAGTTGTTCAGGCAATCGGAAGGTGTTTCTCTTGTAACCAATGAAGAGAAGATAATGGGTTGGGATGATAAGGCATGGAGCTACAATATAGTCAGTTTTAGTCAGTGTTCAAAATCTTGGAAGCGGGTGTGAAACAATCCAGAGATTCATCAGGAGCGCAAAGACGTGCGCTTGGCCAAGTTTGGAGTCGACAGCGAGGATGACAAGGCCTTGAGATTGGAAGCAGACAGGGAAACACGGGGAGCAGTGCAATTGTCTATTTTTGCTAGCTGACAAGTATATAATTTGAGGCATAAGGGGCATAAGAGGACTTGGAACTGGCAGCGCAGCAAACCCACTTTACAGGATCTCACGATGTGTCTCTTTCAAACCAACCATAGAACTGCATACTGCGAAGCATGGAGCCGCCATGGAACCTTGATCGCTTGCAAGACTCCCTGAACCCCCTGAAGTATGGCAGGTGATCCTCATGGTGCAGCGGCTTTCGGCAGAGAAGGCAGGGTCGGCAGGGGCGATGGCCACTGAGGAAGAGGCCTTGAATCATGATCAAGTTGGAGGTTGCACATCAACAACTACTGTATCTCTTGGAATAGAATATTCTTTGAAGTCACCAGCCTTGCTGTGAAACAGCCTTTGGGACAAAACGATGCAAGACCAGTGGCCTCAGCTTCCTGCTTGGAAGGGTTGGTATTTTCCTTGCTCTCCATCAACAACACCAGAAATAAATTGAAATAACAAGAACAAACACACACAGAGTACACATGTGTCGAATTATTTGTACTGAAGAGCTCTCCACTCCAAGGCCAAAAGCTGGACTTGGTGACCAATTCGGTCCTTTCTATTACATTCTCTCATATTCCTGGATGATCTATTATTTTGTGTTTTGCGAGCCTAATAAGGCTTATATAATAGCTCCAAAAGGTTTGCTGGAACGCACCTTTATGCCATTGAGCCGCTTTGTGTTTCACTCCAGGGCACAGAACGAGTCTTCAAGGCCTTGCTGCCCAAGGAGGATCTGCCGCGTTAGAGAGACTGCTGTGCTTGCAAAACTTGGGATGTTGTCGTTGAACACTTTCCCAAAGCATTGCAAAACATACTGCCTGTTTGGAAGTGACGGGCATTTGGGGCTGAAAGCGCCATAGGGAGACAACAGAGGTTGAGGGCTACAATCATGGTGATCAGGCCAAAGGCCTTGCCCTGTTATGCTCTATTTGCCACTCTATTCACTGAAACTGAGGGCAACACCGCCTGATTCGCAGTTCTCGCGTGCAGGAGGGTGGCCAAGGTGTCAAGGGCGTGCTGGCCGTCGCCGGTGATGGTCCGGCGAAGGATGCGGAAGAACCCGGTCAGAAGAACCCACTCAAGGTGTCAAGGATCGTGTCCGGCAAATTGCAACAGGAAAATGCACCCACCACTCAGAAGATCAGATATGAATTTGGATTGAACAGGAGTAACAGGAGCTATATTAAGCATCAAGCGCCAGTATCATACGTACAAATATGTACTCAATGTACTATACTATACATAACAGATACTCACAGTCTGTTGGGTTAATTGGCCGGTAAGCTTGTCGAGCGCAAAGAGTGTCCTTTTGCAGTCATTCAGCTCGACTCAAAGAGGTCAACTTCATTACTGTGGGAGCCAGTTAGTAGCTTCTTGTTACTAGTAGTAATGCCCTTAGCTACAGCTTCTTGCTCCTAGTAGCGATGCCTTTGTTACTAGTAGCTTCTCTTTGCCACCAAACCTTAAGAGGGTTGCCGGGTTGCCTATTTGATTGTCTCGTTCCCTCGTTCGGTCCACACCAGGAGTCTTTAATTGAAGAAGCAACCCGGCTTCGGTTACGTGTAGCTGGGATGCTCAGAAAACCAGTTTGTTTTGTCGTAGAAACATGGTTCACCATCAGGCTGTGTCAGGTGAACTTTCAGAGTGGCTTCAGCTGGCATATGAACATGATCCAAGGCCTACATACACATCAATCCAGGAACACACCTCGTCACCTTGGTCAATTTCTAGGATACTCAAAACCTTGAAGTAGCAGAATGGGCCTTTTGTGCCGTCAAAGTCTCATACCGCTTTTGCTTTCAACTGCATGATAGTAAATACATCTTGCAAAAGCCCAAATGTCAAAAAGCATGTTAAGTTAAGTATATATTCTTGACTTGGAAGGGACACTTGTTGTAGTCATTGTAGTCCATCAATTCGAAAGAGATCCAAGAGACATACCAGGACGTTCTTGGGACGTCCTTCAAATGCAAATTCTATCACACTTTGCCATCCCTTCCATTCTTGGATTGATGCCACAAACCAAGAAGTAACATTGGTGTTGAGGTCTTCTTGGGCAACGTGCCTCACAATGTTCCAAGCTCAGTGCTCAAAGGCTCTTGGAAGGCTGCGGATGGTTGAAGAACGTCTACTAAAAGAATAACAGCGTCGAATTGCAGGATCGTCCATCTATGGCAAAGGCCAACATGCCCCACGCTTACTTCGCGATTTTCTCTCTCATCCGCGCCGAGGAGCTTCCCGCGCTGTATCGATCTGCAGATCTTTTTGTGACCATGAGTCTCTCGGAGACTTTCGGTCTTACTTCTTTGGAGGCCGCAAACATTTCTCGCTTAGTAAGGCATCTGACTGATATCGCATTCTTGGGATTTGAATTTGACATAAATTTGACATAAATTCGACATTATCATGAGGTTATAACATGCCAGTAGCGCATATTTTGGCAAACAGACCTGATGCACTTGTAGCAAGGTCATGCGAGGTGCTGGAGCTTTTTAACTTGCGTTGAAATCGTTGAAGAAGCCAATGAAGCACTGAAGCACGCTTCGCATGTCACGGCAGGCCATGATGTGCGGTTGTCCAGCTGTGATGCCATTCTGCTCGGTGTTTGACGAGATTTGGACAGACAAAACACCCAAGGCACGTCTTTAGCATTTGCCACCAGCGCTTTTCTATTTGTTTTGATCCTGTCAGGAGAGATGAGGTTGACAGAAACACTTTTTATTTTTCTATTTTTTTTTCGCTTTTCCTGGCTGTTGTATCATTCGAGACTACACGACAATAGCACCTGGTATTTGTAGACCTGGCAGACATTTTGTTCATCAGACGGACAAACAGTTTGCCGAGCATGATGTGTCCAAAGCCTGGGCGTTGAACTTCACATGATGTTGATTCGGTGGGCCAGGAGTGGCACTACAACATTGAATCTCCCGAGGAGTTAGCCACCTCCATCGCCGCGGCTCAAAAAAATGGTCGATGCTCGGAGTGGACAAGTTGACCTCAGTTGCCTCCCACAAAGCAGTTGTTTGGATTTGTCTTGGTCATTTGCTATGTTTTGCTGAGGAAAATATCTTCAAGAGCATCCAGGTGCCTTGGGGGGTCTAGCATGCAAGGATGTTGACACTTTGAGACTTCCTGGATCTTACTGGCACATACCGGCACCAGCTTTTTTGTGAGACTGTACTTCCCAAGAAGCCCGCTACTATCCGCAGACGGTTTTTGTAAAACTCTCGTATCCTTCTGTGAATGGCACAACCGCTGCAAGTGCGCACAGTTCATATGACCTGGCGCGATGCTGCTGAAGACTTGCTCCAGCAGTGCCCATGTCAGTTGGGATGAGGTTCGGTGAAACCAAGGTAGGGCACAGAAACCTACTCCCGGCTTCTACTCAAAGCACAGGGTTGCTGGCAACTGCGCAGGCCAAGATCGCTGCCAAGATGCGGTCTTGTTGCCACTTCATCATGCTCATTCTGGGACACTGTCAAGTTGGACAACGTGTTGACAGGTTCATTGATCTTAAGTCTTAAGGATGTCTCTCCCGATTTATCCCCAAGAAGAATCACAGTTTGAATTGAATGACCTTGACTTTTCCTTTGCGGTCCTTCTTATGTCATGTAAACTGTTTCTTTTGTCTCCATGGTGTTTGGTATCAAAACAAGTATTTGGTGTTTGCAGAGGGCTAATGTCTTCATGGAGAAGAATACAGGTACGAGGAATGCATCAAGATGAAACAGAAAGACAGGACCGACCCATTGAGCTGGGATGAGTTCACATGAAATAGAGGATGCAGATGCATACGATGTGTTTGTTCACGTTGGAGCATTTGCAAATCGTGTCTAGCTAGTTACTTGGGGTGGACGTCATTCATGGCCACAGCAGCAGAAAGCTTCACACATGCGCATGGCACCATGTGATGAAGGCCATAACATAGTACCGTCGTGCACAGGAGTCATTTTGCATGGAGCGATAATGCAAATACCTCATTACAATCATCATAGGATTGGCTTGCAGAGGGTCGTTGTTCGGAAGTCGTGGTGAAAGCCCTTGCCTTGCTCAAGTGTCCTTTGTTGGTGTTTGCTAGACATATGAGCGCCTGTACCCATTGGCGCAGATACTGGCAATGATGAAAGCTTGCACCACGTGGCCATATTCATATTCTGTGCTTCTGTGTAATGGGACATGTTGAAGGACACTGGATGCCCTCTTGTTCTTTTCTTCACGCATTGTCCAGCGCCAGGGAGACACTCCGTGAGCTGGTTCAGTTTATGGACCATTGCCACCAGGCTAAATTGGGTGTGAATCAGTTCAAGGCTTAAAACTCAAAGCAAGTGCTTGACGTTTGGATGCTTTGTTGTTTTTCTTGTCTTTACTTGTGGGGGGTGATGACATCCAAGACCCAAAGAGTAGTTACTAAATTCATTTGTCGTGATCTGTCGAGCACCTGTTGCAGCGCTCGAGTGCTCAGCCAGTGAGAGGCTTTCTCACTAAGCAGTGCCTTCTAATCGGGGTCGCAATATAGCATAATATAGCTGTGTCTTGGCAACTTCATTCTGACTGGCACATTGAGCATCATCCAAACTGCGGACCAATGCCGCCTGATGGGTTCTGGAAGCCCCAATTCTACAAAAGTCACTTCAGATATGTGGTGTCAACTTGCAGAGAATTTGTAAAACTATAGTTAATCCATGATTCGGGGTTTGGAAATATATAGAGCATATGTTGGCACGTTTGAAAGGGATTATATAATTGCTTGTGTGGATGAGAGAGTTTGGTGATCACTGCAAAAGTGTATAAGTATAATTGATTATATACTTAAACTTATTTAATATGTATATTATTACAAACTACCATACATTATGTACGTTAAGTTCCCCCAAACATCTGGGAACCAAATCGATCGTGCTGTTCTGCTTCCATGGGTAGTAGCTTCCAGTCTCCTACTTGAACCTGACTAGCCACTTTAGTTCACTACAACCTACCCCCAGCCCACTCAATGAAAGAAAAATATATACAATATAAACGATTAGTTATATAATATTATATACATATTTTTACATATATTACACATGGGCGAACGAAGTGAGTATTAGGGTGGGGTGGTTGCGAGGTAGTGCTTTGGTAGGGTGAACCCAGAGCCTGGTGTGGAAGAGCAAAAAAGAAGGTGTGGACAACATGTAGTCAACAAAATGTATGTTAATAACATATAGATTTGTGTGATGCGAGTGATGCCATATGTTTACTAGTGCATCTTAGCATCACAAAGGGCCAGGATACAACTTCAGTGGGCAGCAGTCTGTCTAGTTGTGTATGGTTATTCGCCTGAAAAAAATTGCTGTAAAGACGGCAACCTGCAAGTAGGCGTGCTTTGCCGCTATAAAGATTTCAACGAAGAAGGCAGTGCGCGGTATCAGCATTGCTCCGCCGAAGAGTCTTCGTGGTCCAAGAGAGGGTGGGCCGAAATGCAACGAGACTAACGGACTCAACGAAAAGGGCATGTATGGTGGTGCCCTTTTTGATCGTTTTGTCGCAGCCTTGGGACACTTTTGTCCCCTCCCTTCTCAGGTAATTTATTTTAACTATTTGTTCATCAAAACGATCCGAGGTTTCCGTGTGGCGATCTGTGGTGCTGCAGCGCCACACACTTAGATTTCAGCGACTGGTGGGGCTGGTCACAAGCGTTCGAAGAAGAACACCAGGATTGGTAGATGTTTGCTTGCTTGTTTGTTTCCTTCCTTACTTCCGTCCTTCCTTTTAGTTGATGCATGTTGATGCGTTTTGAGCCTTGTAAGATCTTTTAAGGCTATTGATTGTTTTCGTGTTCTTTGTGTGAGCAAACTTGCTCATTCAGGACGTGGGTTTTGTGCAGATACTACTGGCCAGCCAGAGCCCTCAAGCTACTTGAGTTTTCCAGACAGATGATGTAAACATGAGGTGAGGTCCCTTGTTGCTCACACACTGCAGATCACATCCAGGTTTTGGTGTCTCCAAGCTGAACTTGCGGATGAAACTGTAGATATCCTTTCTCGGTTCTGCTATAGCTACCTCAATTGGTTTGGATGGGGACGTATAGGCTTGAGTCTCAGCGGCTCAACGTATTGAAGTCTCCGATTGCAACACATGTTCCAAAAGTGTGTAGCTTCAAACTTCAAACACCAGCATGATTATTAAGATGCTCCCCAGAGCCACTGACCATTGCTTTCAAGAGTTGATTCAAATCTTTACTCTTCACACTGCCCCAAAGTCCCCACCCAGCTCGTGCCCAGGCAATCAAGAGTTTTGCCAGAACTGTTGGTTTGGAGAACCTCTTGCGTTGAGAAGCACAGCGAACAGATTTTTGGGCGTAGCTACTGCATGAAATTCTCCAATGGACCCAAGTCCATTTGTGCAGTTGGCCAGAGGCCATCTTTGTTTCTTTGCTTCTTGGACACGACAGTGATTCGTTTGACAGTTGCAGTCGGGTGATCGGCTGAGGTTTCCATATTTGATACCATATCCGATATCCGAATGGTGGCATGGAGCGCAGAAGACCAAGGGACCCCAAATAATTGTAGAAAGGAACAAGATGGAAGCAAGGAAGGACGCATGACATGCTTAAAGGTCAAAAAAGGTCTAGACTATTTACTCGGACAGTTTGGACCGTTTTTCGGTTCACTTTTCAATACTTTTGCACCTTTTCAGGACTACTGGGTGATGATGCCAAAATGTGGTATTGACCGGAAGAGCTTCATTGGTTACCATCGGTTGTATTCAATTCTACAGTATCTGCAAAGCCACCAAGCCCTTTAGCTGAAGTAATTCCTGCTTGCACTGTAATTTTTGGGCGAAACAAACTGCACTTCAACACTGAAGTGCTGCGAACTGGGAACAGTTCGGTGGCATTACTCACAAACGCTACTGAACTCTGCGTCTCTTGACCCAGTAGCCGAATGCAACTGCAGCTCCAGTGGGCGGTGGCTTGTCGTTCAATGGGCTAGCTATTGATGACAAAGGGGGCCGCGTGACCTGAAGCACAAGTTGCGCATGCGATTCGCAGAAAACAGGCGCAAGAGGGGCACAGCTCAAAAACACAAGGCCGGTCAGGAATCACAAGAAGGCAATTTGTCAACTTTTATGTGTTTGCTTCGGAGGATATCTCATTATTCTTTGTTTCGGGGGTCACACAGTCACGTGTGACAATTGCCGACAGGCAAAACCAGACTGCGTGAAACTAGCTGCACATTGGCTAGTGGGCATGTTCGGAATTGTTTTTCTTGTTGCCATCGGAGTGGACATCAATAGACTACGAAACCTGCGAAGCGTATGGCTGACATCGAAGGAAAAGGTTGCCCGGTGGCCAGTAGCTGTACAGTGTGATCTAGTTGCCGTCAGGTGCTCGTTGTGGCTACACTTGATGACCCACCTGTCCACTCCATAATGGAGTGGTTGTAAGCGCTATTGCGACCCTGAGGATGTTTGACTCGGGGTGTCGGGCCGTTTTGTCTTGTTTTTTGAATAAAGCTCCTCAAAGGTCAAAGTCATCCACTCGTTGGATGGTCAGTGGAAAGTCCCTTGTTGGTATTCCCCCCGACCTTGCGATGAAAACAGGAAGAAGGAGCAGCTAACGGGCTAACGGTCCCACTCTCCGGCAGCCTAACATTTAAATCTCCCGCTCTCCAGGCGTTTTTGTGTTAAAACCTTTATACTATATATATATATGTAATTGCAAGCCAATCCCTCATTAGTCCTCGCCAGTGACCAGTATTTGGCAGCTGGCTTCACAATCATTGACGCTGTTGCTCAATGAGGAAAGTCAATATGGAGGAGGACCTAGGCATAATTGACTAGAAAGGAAAGAGGCTTCTAGCAAAGCAACAGTCAATACTATCAGCTCTAATGCTGGCTTAGTTCTTTTTGAAGTAAGTTTTGTGCTTTCAGGACAGCCAATAATTTGACGCGTGCTTCACAAAGCACTTTTACCAATGCAGGAAGAGCCCAGGAGGGCGCATTGCATAGTGCGAATGTTCGTGTAAATGGCCAACAGGATGCAACAGGTGACCTGAGCAATTCATCGAACCTACACTCTGCTGGACGTGCCTGTAGTGGCATTGCCATTTGCGGCAAAATGCAGCAAAGCCGGAGGATGACACAGATCACCTTGCGCAAGGCAAAGTCCTTACAGCCCCTTGGAGATGCAAGTTCGATATGGGATTTGAGGGCGGAGCACCGACACTCTGATAGAAGTCTCAAGGCAAGAAAGCCCTTGACCCCCAAACACCCTTGCGTGCGTGCTCACAGTATTGATAAATTTTGTGAACCACAGAATGATATTTGATGGATGGTGGGATGGGATCAGAGAAACTGTGCTGGAGCTTGCAGCACTTCAAATTGGCAGAGCTGCAGATGAGTAAGCGAAGATTAATTCCATGCATCACATGCATCACTTGTCTCGAAAGAGAAAGATAAATGAAAAGGTCTAAACATCTACTAGCGCGATTTGCCTCTAACCGTGACTCTAACAGACCAGATCTGAGGCGCGATGTGCTCACGGGCCTCACAGACGCAGAGAGAGCCATCCTGGCGGACGCGGCAAAAGGCCGCGCCGCTGAGGCCACAGAACGTGAGGACGGCAACACGAAAAGGGCGAGGACGATGTACTCTAGTCATAGCAACCAAACATAGCTAGGTCACCTGCCAGTTCATTGTTTGGCCCTGAAAACAAATCGGTAGCGACAGGTATGAAATAAAATGAAATGAATGAGTCAGTTGTCACATTGGCACCGGCCAGTGACTTCATGTCACTGCCATCCAACGATCGGCTTGGCCTCAGGATCAAGCCTCGATGCTGAGGGGCAAGTCTGAAAAGTGTGACTTGTTTGCAGGAGTTGAGCTAGATCCTTCTGTTCCTCATCGAGACCTGCTTGTTGGAAGTCAATGCTTGAACTGCGCCCTGATCAACTCCTTGAATAAACATCATGGTTTGTGTAAGAAAGTCTCTCTCTCTCTCTCTCTCTCTCTTTGTGTGAGTAGAACATGTGGTGACAGGATCAATGCAGATGGCGTTTCATGAGCCAGCCCAACTATATCCCTGAGTGAGCCTACTTCCATAGAAGGTGGTTGAAAGCGTCTCTCAGTTTCGTTCTTTGGCTCCCAAAAAGAGAGATACTTTTGAAACGGCGTGCAGAAGATGTTGGAATATGCTGAAAATAGGCGTGTGTGTATACATATTATATAATTATGTATATATATATATAGACTAGAGATATGTATGACTTCGCGATGGGTCACATAGATACACTAGTTTTGTTTAATAATAGGCAAGCTTGCTGAGGTGCAGATTTGGTGAGAAATTGTGAGCGCTGTATTCTGGAGGCAGGGCTTGAGGTCGTTATTGGTCCCGATTGTCGCATTGTTCCTGAATAATCACGGAAGGGGCACGTTCTTGAAATCAGTGAGAGAGCTTACTGTGCCACGTGAGAAGAGGAAGTGCCATCGCACGACAAGCGAATGAACTTGTCCATGTGCTCGCAGTCCACCGGCGGAGACTTCTTCATAGCAAGACAGCACGAGATCCTTCAGGTTGATTGGCTATTCTGCAATCTACAACTGCCACACTGTTCCTTTTTGATCCTTTTTGTTGGTCTATAATTATTCTTCTTTCGGACAAAAAATATTCTTCGTACAACCTCCGGTGACAAAACAAAAGCAAGCAATCCTCTCACCCGGCAGTGTATTTTTGACCCTGATTTGATCGGCTCACTGGCCCAAGCCATTTGTACAAAATGCAGGTGGACGCGATGCTGCGGCAACTGGGCCAAGGACTTCGACGTTTACAGCACACCAGAGACTTGGTAAATTTAAACATTGAGTATGGAGGTTTGTTCCTGGTTAAAACTTAATAGGGTTTCATTATTCAGTCCACAGCCATTGAAGGAAGAAGAACCAGTTCCATTAGCAAAATCACCAAAATCCATGCAAGGTAATTCAGACTGTATGCTGAGGTTACGCTTGGAGTTGTCAATTGTGCAGGATTTCTCTAATCGGTTTGCATTGTCGCAGTCTACATAAGTGCTCAGTTATATATATATAGGTGCAAGATAGTACAAGAACCCCAGACGAAAAAGCAATGGCAAGCATCAAAGCCAAGGATACGCGCAGTTTGCCGACCTCAAGGTCTGACCTGCTAGCATTCGTCGCCCTGTGGCCGAAAGCTAGACAGGGACACCGGTTCCATGTCCTCGTGGCCATGGAGAGTCGATGTCGTTAAGTTTCTTTTCAACTCCCTTTTGACTGAATATTTTGAGTCTTTAGGATCTGAAACTTGCAGAAAACACGTCATACACAGCGAGCTCTTGGGATGAGTTTTGTTTGGTTATAGCTTGTAGCGAGCGGATGCAAGCATGGAACTGTTTTGCCTCTAAGGACAAGCCCGTAAACACAGTCAAGCGACACAAGCGATAAATTGCACATTACATGTGGTGAGCTTCTTTTTACTGTCAGCCATGTGCTTCCTTTTACTTGATTTTAGGTATCATTCACAGGCACCGGGTCCGCCGCAGGTGTGCCAGCATCGATTGAATCTGCGCGCTGAGGCTCCAGACGAGGTGCAGCAGCTCAGAGATGTGATTTGTTGGTACGAAACTTTGGGTGGTGGTTTCAATATGTGGTCAGAATTGGGATTGGTTCCCTTTAGGAGGGATGGTCATCCATCTCTTAATAGGCCTTTGCACAGTTGTAATACTGGGTGGAAGTGGAAGGAACGTCCCGGTCCCCAACATTAGAAAATCTGTTTTCTACCTCTTGCTAACTGGACTGGTTTTTCCTTTGGCAACAATTACTCACAGTAGCTGACTTCGACCCCTCCTCGCTGGGTTTAACTGTACCTGGTCTGTTCTGGTTGGGTGGCATTCCACTTTCTCTGTCACCTTGCCCTAGCCACGTCAGCATTGTAAGGCAGAGGTGACGCACAATGTGCAAACTGTAAAGCATCCTTTCACCAACGGTCAGAAGTTGCAACTAAATAAGAACCACCACTTTACGCCCGTGGAAGCGTCCGCACCAAAAGGCGACATACCATGTCATCACCGTAAAGACCTGCCACTCGCTTCACGAGTAGGATCACCTGTTTTGAAACAGGACTTCTTCACTGGGTAAAGACATTGCAAGAACCCATCATGCCATTGTTAAAGCGTGCTACAGACATCAATGATGCCCATTGCATCCCAATGCCCAATTGCACAGTGAACAGTCCCAAGGAGGCTTGCGACATGGCGCAACGTGCCCTGGAAGAGCAGGGGCGATGCATCAGCACCTTGGACGCAGACGTCATGCAAGCTAGTTTGACGCTATCCAGATTATATATGTTTCCTTGTGTGATAGGAACGTTGATTTGATAATACTAGAAAGAACGTCAGCCATGCACCTTTGGATGACAGCGCTGTCACCTTACTGACAGGTGATGCTCGATTTGAGCTCTTCGGCTTAGAAGGTGAATGCCGAAAAGCTTTGCAAATGATCGGTGAGTTTGGGGCCTCAAGACTGAGAAGACTTGACAAGACTTGACAGGAACAAAGGGTATCGCTACTGGGAGCAAGGACGCTACTAGTAGCTCCTGGCCTTACTACTAGTAGCAAGGACGCTATTAGGAACAAAGGGAATCGCTACTAGACTTACGTATATATATGGCAATCGAGAAGCTCGCGTTCGATGAAATGTGTTTGAAACTGTAGCGGTGGCTCACAGAAGGCTTGGGGCCAAGGAGTCCTGATGGAGCCACCCCAGGATGACGAGCCGGCAGGGATAGCTAGGCTGTTGAAGGAAGGGTGGCAACGCCCCACCCTTGCCTTCTGTAATGACATGCCGAAGCATGAGATCGCCGACCTCCTGCCGGGCATCGTCGATGGATGGACGGACGAGGACTACATGATGTTGAAAAGAGAGGCCAAGCGACAGAAGCGGAGACTTGACTTGGATGACAACCTGTTCCTCCAGCATCAGGCCCTGCTGTTTCGAGACCGGTCTTTCATTGACCGCAAGCTGGAGGACACCCCGCTTGGCCAGGCACGAATGGGCGCGGAGATTGAGGTCGTGAGGGGCACCCTTCCGCGTGTTGGATGGAGGTCTGGAATGCATAGAAGGGCTCACCAGTGCACGACTGAGGACCAGAGAGCCCGACTCGAAGAGAAGGAGCGTGAGGCACGCATCCAGGAATTGGTGAAGCTCTTGGAGGTGACGGAGATGATCGAGGTGGAGAATCCTTTGGGGAAAGCTTCCAAGTACATGGCGGCTCGATATGCCATGGGTAGGCGCGCCAACACCATTCGACAACATGTCAAGGTTGGGTTCAGGCTGCACGAGTACATGAACAAGATCTACAACGTCCCCTGGCTTCGTGACGCCGGTGATTTAATAGGGTATATATCCCTACGCATGGAAGAACCTTGCGGCAAGTCCGTGCCGAGCTCCTTATTCAAGGCCCTCGTGTTTCTCGAAACTTCAGCAGAGGTGCCACCAGACAGGAGAATCTCGGGAAGCATGGCCCTCCAGCATTTTTTGATGGAGATCGAACGATCTGATGTTTGGCAGCCCAAGTCCAAGACCAAGGCTGCCAGGTGGACGGTGGAGATGGTGTTGGCGCTTGAACACATCTTCATGGACAAAGACAAGGAGAAGTTCAAGAGGGTCATGGCATGGTACAAGTTGATTAAACTATGGGGTGCCCTCAGGAGTCACGACACCGAGGCCATCCCTCCCTCAACGATCAAGTACGAGGAGGCCCGTGGACTGGAAGCGCAGATCATGCGCACCAAAACGACGGGGGGCAGGACGCAAAGTGGAAGTGGTTCATTTGTTCATTTCCTCTCAAGCATGGCTCTCTTACCGAGGTTGGTTGGTGGAGGGCTTGCGCATCTACAAGAGCATGGATGACGAGCAGAGGTTCGCGGCAAGGGACTTCCTCATGTGTCTGCCCACGGCGGACCTGCAATCCTTTCGGAGGACTATGATGAGGTACCCGGATGCCATGGTGTTCTCACGGCTGATGGAACCAGCTTCGAGCTCGTTTTGGTCAGAGCACTCTGAGCGAGTGACAATCATCAGCTGGGCATCGGCCTGCGGGGTTGAGAAGGAGACCAGAAAGCGGTGGGGTCGGTGGTCACCCTCGGTGGACGAGGATTCCGTCGCCACGACGAGGCAGCTGATCTTTGCAGCGCAGAGTCGGCCATTAAGTTTTTTGAGGAGTCCATTGGTGACCGGCCCATGAGACCGTTGTCTTCGTGGCCGTCGGTGTTCGGCGAGGTGTTCCGTGTGGACGCCATGGCCGACCTGGAGGGTGTGGCCGTCGGAGGCTGGGAGACGTTCCACACCACCGACCCCATGAAAGCGCGATGGTTTTCTGTGAAGTTGAATAGGACCACGGCTCCTTACTTGTACGTCAAGGGGGGGCCCTTCAAGACGATCGCCAGCGCCGAACTTCTTGCTGTCACGTTGGCGGTCATGGTTTTCGGCCCAGCAGGAAAGTGGCGCAGAGGAGCCGGCAGAGTGGCGGTGACTGGATTCACCGATAACATCTCGAACGCCTATTTGCTGGACAAGTATCTCACGACCAAGTTTCCAGCTTCGTTAGTGCTCATGGAACTCTCCAAGCAGCTCGAGCTTTATGACTTGGACCTCAACCTGGTTTGGATTCCCAGAGAACAAAATGAGCCGGCGGACGACCTCAGCAAGGATAGGTTTGAGAAATTCGACTTGAAGTGTCGGGTCGAAGTTGACATGACCAAGCTCAACTACCTCGTACTTCGTAACCTAAAGAGGGAGGAGACTGGAACGGCGAAGG